TCCCTCAGCCCTTAAAGGGGAAAGGTTGCCTACCCCTGCTATATGGTATGCTGCCTTAACATGGTGGAGACAGCTGGTAGGACAGTTTAATTGTTGTTCACAGAATCATAGATTTGGAAGAGACCACAACGGCCATCCAGTCAAACCCCCTGCCATGCAGGAACACACAATAAAAGCACACTAATATGTGCCTTCATGTCATTTTTGACTTATCACGACCCTAACGCAACCCTATCACAGGGTCTTCTGGGACTAAGAGTGTGTGACTCATCCAAGATGACCCAGTGGGTTTCCACAGCCAAGCAGGGATTCAAACCGTGGTCTCTAGAGTTGTTGTCCAGCACTCAAACCACTATGTCACAGCCTCATTATTTCTTCTCTTGTTTCTTTGTTTTGCTATTCAGGCATTCTCAGTAAAGGATCCTGTTGGTAGCTGCTTTACTATGCCTGTATTAGGCAGATACATATGGCTATAGCAGAATCAACTAGAATAGAATCCTATTCTTCCTCAGGTCAAGCTTTATTGGATTGTTTACTGCAACCCAACACTGAATGTCTGTGTTTCTCTATGTGGAGAGATCTTTTAGCACCTTTGAGACTAAGGGCATTTACAGACTGCCAGAAATAATGCAGCTTGAGGCCACTTTAACTGCCCTGACTCAGTGCTAAGGAATCACAGGAACTGTAGTTTATTGTGGCACCAGAGCTCTCTGACAGAGAAGGCTCAATGTCTCAGAAAAAACTACAGTTCCCATGATTCCCTAGCATTGAGCCAGGACAGTTAAAGTGGTCTCAAGCTGCATTATTTCTGTCAGTCTGTAAAGGCCCTAACTGAAGGGACTCTACATTGGGCAAACAGGCCAGTCCCTGCGCCAGAGGATAAATGGACATAAATCAGACATTGGGAATGGGAATACACAAAAACCAGTGGCAGAACATTTCAATCTCCCTGGGCATTCCATCTCAGACCTCAGAACAGCAGTCCTTGAACAAAAGAACTACAAAGGTAGATTGGAAAGAGAAACAGCAGAATTGGAATTTATCCACAAACTACAGTCCCTTACCAATGGATTGAACAAAGACAATGGGTTCCTTACTCACTACACACACTTCAACACTATCTGACCCCATCCACATAGGGGTGCCCTACATTCATCTATTCCTCCCACCACGGGCTAGTCCCATTAAAAAACTGGATCTGCCAGTTCATCTCCATGCACAAAGACCCGTTTCCTATGTCTTGCACACTAACAACCATTGTTAAGACTGGACCTACCACTTCATTGCCATACACAAAGGATCTGTAATTTGAATTGACATCCTCCCATCCTCTGTGCGTGGCCTCCACTCCACCAAATGCATCTGAGGAAGTAAACTGAAGTCTATGAAAGCTAATGCTGCCAATTTCCTTCTTTGTGTTAGTCTCAAAGGTGCTACATTATCTCTCTACATACTGATTCTACAGACTAACACGCCTATATCTTTGTGTTTCTCTAGGCCACCATTCTCCCATTGTAGATGCTGTTAAACAAACAGGAAAGAGGGGTCTGGATGGGCAGAAAGAGTTTGCAAAAAGCAGCATCTTTATCAGAGGCTTTGTTAACTGAGGTATGCTTGTACATATACAGTACTAGAATCACTTAGATTTCTCTCTCTGATCAAAAGACTCAAAAGTGGCATGTACAAGAAATGGAAAAAGTGGGAAACCACCAAAGGAGAATTCAAACAAATAGGCAGCTTGTGGAGGCAGAAAGTCAGAAAAGCTAAGCACAGAATGAGCTCAGGCTTGCGAGAGAGAAACAATAAAAACGGTTGTTTTGGTTATTTCCATAGCAAAATGAAGAACAATGCAGGGTCACTGCACGAAATGCCATCTTCCATTGGCATCTTCAATTCAATTCAATAGAACAATAGAGTGCCAACAAGCACACCTCTACTCAGCTCACACAACATTCAGCCTTGACCCAACAGACAAAAGATTCCCAAACTACAATAGAACAATAGACACTACTGGTTACACAATCAAGCTTCCTCTAGGCTCCAAACACACAAACGAGCCTTCCCCCAACTGACCCTCTCTCTTGACCCAACAAACTCTCCCAAAAGACTCTCTGGGACTGGGGAGATTTAACCCCACAGACCCCCCCCCCCAAAAATCACTTTCTGTTGTCTCTTCCTTCATACCCACACAAAACACCCTGTTTTCTAAGCCTGATCACCAAGCTCCAGAACTATTACTATTCCACTCATTAAAGACTATTTCACAAATCAAAGCCAGATCCTGAAAGGCTCACAGCCTTGATAGAGCTGTATGCATTGGTGGAACCACCAATAATCCTTTGCCTGTAGATGTTACATTTCTAGATGGTACATACCATACTAGCTGAGCTGTCAGATAGTGGGAGAGGTTAAAGCACTGGGCCTTAAATACCAGGACCAAAAGCTTGTAATGAGCCCTGGCCCAAGCTGGTAGCCAGTGGAAGGATCTAGGAGGGGAAGAGACATGTCAGTATTTGGGGAGATTTAAGACAACTCAAAAGTTGATTTTGATTTTGGATCAAAACCAGAGTTAAAAAGCAGGACAGCGAACCTCAAGTAGGCTATTACAATTGTCCAGACATGAAATAACCAAGGCCTGGACAAGCAAATGGGCAGTCTTGATGGTCAAAAATGTATGGATCCTATGTATGTTAAAAAAAATGAAAGTTGCATGCCTTAGCAATTGCCCCAATAAGGGTTGCAAGGACAACCATCCAGCAGGACTCCTGACAACTGCGACAGGGGCCAATGTGTAACCTTGTGAAGGGTATGAAAGTAGGGCTAGTTGGGAGTTAGACTGAAACACCAGGATCCATGTTCAGCTTGAGACAGTAGTGGTCATCCACAGAGAAACACTCAATGGGCAGTCCATCACAGAATTCCATACAGTAACATCCCTTGAATCAAAGCTTTGGAATATCTGAGTATCATCTGCGTAGATGTGATACTGGAAGCCCACCTCTGAAATAAGAAATCCAAGGGGAAGTGTATATAAAGAAAAAAGAAGAGGACCCAATACTGATCCTTGAGACACCTCTACAGTTACAGGGAAGGTTGTTGATATAGCTCCCCGAAATGAAACAACAGAGGAATGATCCAACAAAAAGATTTAAACCAGGACAGAGCATTCCCTGTTATTCCGAATGATGCCAACCGGAACAGTAAGATCTGACTGTAGAGCAGATCATTAAGCAGACAGTCTGTAAGGACTTAGAAAGGAATGCTGTTATTATTAAAAGTCAGCATGGATTTCTCAAAAAACAAGTCATGCCAGTTTAATCTTATCTTTTTTTAAATAGAGTCACATAGATGAAGGGAATACTGTGGATGTAGCATATCTTAATTTCAGTAAGGCTTTTGACAAGGCTTCCCCATGATATCCTTCCAAAAAAAAAAAACCTAGTAAAATATGGAACAGGCAATACTACTGTGGAGGTGAAGCAGACGGGCAGGAAGAAGTGGCCAGAAGCTGCTCCCAGCCCGATTGCCTGGGGACCATGGCAAACACATGGCGCAGCCCCAAGGACACCTCCTGCCACGTCCCAAAAGGAGTGGAAAATATATGCTTCTTCTGGGGTTGGTTTTGGGCCACCTCGGTTTTAGGGCCACCTTTGATGCCATGCCCCAGAGGGGGTGGAAGCCGCCCCCGTCTGCCTGTCTGTTTCGGGCCTGTGTGATGGAGTCACTCAGCAAACTTGGGGCTCACTCCCACTATGATTTCAACCAATTTGCTGATCGGTTTATATGTGCCTCATTCACACTGGATGACACGACTGCAGTCAGTCGGAATCGTGGACAATTGAGGTGAAGCAAGACAAATACAAAAGAATCACTCTTTTTGAAGATGGATCTTTTGGTGGTTCTTTGAAAAGAATCGATTTGCAAGTGCGTTCAACAAATGGGAACAATGTTTGTATCTCAACTGCATCGCACTGGAGGGGAGGGACTATGGGAGAGGATTAGCAGAGGGGTGTAACCCATCCTGCCCCAACTTTTGGGGAAATCCACCATTCCCCCCCCCCTCAGCACTGCCTCAACAACCCCCAACAATAACCAAAATTTATGTTCTGGCATGGCTTTGGGTCTGTTTCATATTTTTACAAAGGGAGGGAGGTTCCTTCCATCCTGTGCTCTCCCTTTTCCCACTTTGCTTTTTAAGCTGGGTTAAGATTTTTGTGGGTTCTGTGTGTGGTTCTTTCCCCCATCCATCCATCCCTCTTCCCCCCCCCCCCTTCTTTCTGTGGATGGCTCTATTTCCTTTTTCTCTGTCAATGCGCTGTCAATCAAAGAAGTGGCTTGCCTTTCATCTTTTCCCTCCCATCCTCACCCCTTTCAAGAGAGAGAGGAGGGGGGAAAGGTAGGAAAGAAAAAAGGAGGAGGAGATGGAGGAGGAGCAGAGAGTGGGTGGAGAGAATGCTAAACTTTGGGGATGCTTTTCTTGCGGAGAGGGGTTTAGCGTGTTTGTTTGTTTTTAATTAACTGACAGATTTTGCGATCACTCACATTTCTGCGGGATCTCTAGACCGAGTAATGGGTCTCCTGACAGAGCCACAACTACGAGTGCTTGCATCACCGATGATGCGTATATGTGCATCATATGATTGACATTTAAAAAAAAAAAGGCCGGGATGGATCGATCGCAATCGATACTGAGCATGTATTTTGTAGCAGCTCAAATCTAGTGGGAACAACAAACCCGTCAAAAAAGACACGAATGCATGGAATAATGAAATGATTTGCTTCCATAGTGAGAACTACACATCAGCCTGAATTGATTCAGTGACCCGGTGTCAATGTGACTTGCAAAGCGGATTAAATGTAAGTGGGAATGAGCCCTTGGTTTCCTGACAGTCAATCCTGGTTTGGATTGACTGTGAGGGAGCGGCTGCCAGGGAATAAGTAGATATAAAAGAGAGGAATGAGTGGCTGGGAAGGCCAGTTAAGTTAGATTCAGTTGAGTTAAGTTGAGTTCATTTCAAAAGAAAGTTCTGCTCAGGGGAGTTCAGTGCAGAGCAGTTAAGGGGAAATTGAGGAGGAGTTTAAGAGAGATGAAGAGAGTTGAAAGGTAAGGGAATAAAGTTGAGAGAAGGATATGGACTAGGAGAGAAAGTGTATTGGATATTGTAAAGAGGAACTTGGAAATGCTTGCAACTGTTACATTTATGTAACCATACCACCTTGAAACAGAGTTACCATTCCTGCTAAATGTTATTGAGTAAAGTCAATGTTTATTTGTTAAAATAGAAGTCTCAGCCTGTGTGAATTATAAACCATATAGGCACATACAAACACACTACCAAAGAGAATAAATTTATAAGAGGAAGAC